CTCTGTTTCTAGCTCCATGGTTGGCCTGATGGGGTTGGAGTTCCCTCTCAAACACCAGACCACACAGTCTTCCAAAAATAAACATTTTATATAGACAAAAAAAAAAAAAAAAAAAGAGCCTCGAAACAGAGCGAGACTGTCAAAAAAAAAAAAAGGACAAAAAAAAAAAATAGAGAAAGTATTAGGGCCAGGAGCAGTGGCTCACACCTGTTATTCCAGCACTTTTGGAGGCCAAGGCAGGCAGATCAATTGAGGCCAGGAGTTCAATGGCAGCCTGACCAACATGGTGAAATCCCATCTCTACTAAAAATACAAAAAGTAGATGGGCATGGTGGCAGGCACCTGTAATTCCAGCTACTCAGAAGGCTGAGGCAGGAGAATCACTTGAACCCAGGAGGCAGTGATTGCAGTGAGCGGAGATTGTGCCACTGCACTACAGCCTGGGATACACAGCCATTCTCAATCCCAAAAATAAAAGAAAGAAAGATAAAGAAATAGGGAGGGACTCCATATCTGGATCCCCTTCCATGATCTTGTGGAAGCTCTTTTTCTTTCTCCTTTTTCTCTTTCTCTGCCTAAATAAACCATTTTCTGCAAAACTCTTTGGCGTCCGATATTTACTTGCGGGTGCACCATGCCTGGCGGGGTCCTCCCTCCCATTCTTGGGTGAGTGAGAGACCAAGGGCTTGGAAGAACATGCTCTCAGGGGAGCTGAGCCTCTCCTGCTCCCCAAAATTCGGCCACAAATATTGGTGAGCCAGCCAGGAGGAGGTGCAAGCTTCAGAGTGGTAAGTTATATTGGATACTCCTCTTACTTGCAATCTGTCCTGTCCCTTTAAGGAAACACTAGGAGCAGGGGTGCTGGGCTGTGGGAGTTTCAGAGGTTCTGCAGGAATCCCTGGCCAAATTTAAAAACAGTGCTGTGCCCAGCTTCCTCCAAACCCTCTCTGCTTGCTTTCTGCTCTCACTCCCTCTCTCTCTCAGCTGTTTTCCATATCTGGATCCCCTTTCACGATCTCGTGGAAGCTCTTTCTTTCTCCTTTTTCTCTTTCTCTGCCTAAATAAATCACTTTCTGCAAAAACAACAACAACAAAAAAAAGAAAGAAAAAAAGAAGTAGGGAAAGTATTGACACTACATTCTGCTCATTATTGCAATAAGTAATATTAATTGATGAATACTTAACCTCATTACATATAATTGTCAACTATAGATGCATGTAAGTAAATATATAAGCATACATATATTTAAAAATTCATCCTCATCCATCTCATGAAGAGAATAATTTCTAATGCTATTTTACAGTTTTGTGTTTAACTATCAATAAAATACATTTTTATCTTGTTATTAATAACTGTAATGATGACTTAGTCTCAAAAACGGTTTTAACAGAGCCTTATGGACACAGGATTTTTTTAACACTGTAAATCAATTTACATATGCATTTTTGTTTCAGAAAATATGACAGGGCAATCAATAAAAGATGTTCAAGCATAAAAATAGCTGACATTTGAATACAATTCTTTAGGGGAAGTGGAATGAAAGTATAGTTCAAGAAAGAAAGGGGATGATTTAACATTTCTGGCTGTCAAAGAACTACTTGTTCAATTTTAAAAATGAATGATGGTGTCATATTCCTACTGTACTTAGATTCGATTGGCTACATTAAAAAGAGTGATATGACAGTTTTATTTCAAAACATCCCATGCTAACAACTGCAGAATACATCCTTTGTGACCACTTAAAGCTGCGATTAAAAGTTACAGATGTCAAACTTGTAAGTGTGTGAAGAGATACATAGTTTTTCAGCGTTTTGGGGGGTGTAGGTAAGGAAAAGTCTGAAGGCTGTTGCTTTTTTTTTTTTTAAGACAGAGTCTAACTCTGTCACCCAGGCTGGAGTGCAGTGGTGCAATCTCGGCTTACTGCAACCTCTGCCTCCTGGGTTCAAGCAATTCTCCAGCCTCAGCCTCCCGAGTAGCTGGGATTATAGGTGCCCACCACCATGCCCAGCTAATTTTTGTATATGTTTACTGCAGATGGGGTTTCAGCATGTTGGTCAGGCTGGTCTTGAAATCCTGACCTCAGGTGATCCGCCTGCCTTGGCCTCCCAAAGTGCTGGGATTACAGCTGTGAGCCACTGCACTAGCTGAAGACTGTTGCTTTCTGCCATCCTCTCACTAACATTCCTGCTTACAACATTGTACTTATATTTCCCAATCCTTTACAGCCTTGAACAATAGAAATGGTAGACACCATTGTCCCTACCATTTCAGAGGATTCTTAGCCCGAAGTTCTTCATACCTCACTATGCAGCCCTTCTACTCTGAACTGGGTAGTAGTTACAGGGTCACAATACAAGGACTTAAATTGGAGAAACCAGAAAGAAATCAGCCCCTAGACCTTCTGGCTGAACTATTTCAAGAATATGCAGTTACATTTCAGAGGCCCCAGTTTGATTCATGGTGTACTCAGGGACACATAATTACAAGCTGCATTCCAGCAGGCTTTTGCTGCAATGCTTGCTTCTGAATGTAATGCTCACTACTATGATGTCACCTTTGGAATATCGGGGACGACCATGGCAGAGTTTATGGCAACACATTGAAAGTAACCAGCCTTGATGTGTGCCTTGCTCTCTTCTGGAGAGAGACTTTCTCAAATACCAGGTGAGGTTCTGGTGTAGTTTCTCCAAATGTTGAAACTTTCTTTTAAAGTAGGTAGAAAAATGGATGGAAGCAACCATACACCCACATAGCAGAGGAAATGCTCTTGGGGGCAGCTATGTGAGAGGGATTGTAGCAGTTGAGGTGGCAGAGGAATGAAGTACTGCTCTTTAAGTCAGAACTAAAAACTGAATGTTTGCCCCCTACAATTTAAGGATTGCCAGCTCCAATGTGCAAAACTGTGCTTATGAACACAGTCCATAAGAAACTTCAGTCTGGGGATTTCATAAGTAGGGATGCCTCAGTTATCCAGGATCAAGAGGGATATATGTTCACCATAAGTTGTTTTTTTTTTTTTTTGAGATAGGGTCTCCTCTGTCACCCAGGCTAGAGTGCAATGGCACAATCATGGCTCACTGCAGACTTTCCTGAACTCAGGTGATTCTCCTGCCTCAGCCTCCCAAGTAGCTGGGACTATATGCACAGGCTAATTTTTTGTATTTTTAGTAGAAACAGAGTTTTACCACATTGGCCAGGTTGGTCTTAAATTCCTGGCCTCAAGAGATCCACCTGCCTCAGCCTCCCTAAGTGCTGGGATTATAGGCGTGAGCCACGATGCCCAGCCCTGGCTAATTTTTTTGTATTTGTTGTAGAGATGGGGTTTTGCCATGTTGCCCAGACCAATCTCAAACTCCTGGACTAAAGCGATCTGCTTGCCTCAGCCTCCCAAAGTGCTGAGATTATATGCATAAGCCACAGCACCCATCCTTAAGTGATTTTTTAAAAATAAAAATAGATAACATCTATTTAAGCACACTCACAATAAATGTTTTAGCTTTAAAACTCTTTAATTAAACTTTGTATTTGGAGATAATTGTAGACTCACATGCAATTCTAATAAATAATTCAGAAGGCCTGCACACTCATTACCCCATTTCCTGAATGGTAGCCTCTTGTAAATCATAGTGAGATACCACAACCAGCATATTGACATTGAATGAGCCAAGACACAGAACACTTCCATCAGCACAAATAACCCTGTGCTGTTCTTTTACAGCCACACATACTTCCCTCCCACCATACCCACTTCTTAACCTTTGGTATCAACGAATCTGTTCTCCATTTCTATACATAAAGGTTCTATAAATGGAATCATACAGTATGATGATCAGCTTTTTTTCACTTGGCATGATTCTCTGAAGATTCATCCAGGTTGCTGAGTGTATCAATAGCTTGTTCCTTTTTATTGCTGAACAGTATTCCATGGCATGATGAACTACATTTTGTCTGATATTCACCAGCAGAAAGACATTTGGGTTGATTCCAGTTTTGGGCTATTGCCCAAAGTAAAGCTGCTATAAGCATTCCTGTATACTTCTCTGGGATAAATGCCCAGAAGAGCAATTGCTGGGTCCTATGATAGTTGTATGTTTATTTATATTTATTTATTTCACAGACAAAATCTTGCTCTGTCACCCAGGCAGGAGTGCAGTGGTGTGATCATGGCTCACTGCAGCCTCAAACTCCTGGGCTCAAGCAATCCTCCTCCCCCAGCCTCCTGGGTGGCTGGGATGACAGACACATGTCACCGCACCTGGCAAATTTTTGTATTTTTCTTTGCAGAGATGGGGTTTTGCCATGCTGCCCAGGCTGGTCTCAAACTCCTGGTCTCCAGTGATCTGCCTGCCTCAGCTTCTCAAAGTGTTGGGATTACAGGCGTGAACCACCACACCTGGCCTGTCACCCTTTTTCATTTTAGCCATGCTGATATATGTGTAAGTATAGCTCACTGTGGTTTTTCTCAATGTGGTACAGTATTTTAAATTTGTATACTTTTCCAAGGCTTTTTATTTGTAAAGTCTTATGAACATTAATTAAAAACATTTTTTATTAAGAAAAAGATACATGGCCAGACGCGGTGGCTCACGCCTGTAATCCCAGCACTTTGGGAGGCCGAGACAGGCGGCTCACAAGGTTGGGAGTTTGAGACCAGCCTGACCAACATAGTGAAACCCTGTCTTTACTAAAAATACAAAAATTAGCCAGGTATGGTGACGCGCAGCTGTAGTCCCAGCTACTTGGAGGCTGAGGCAGGAGAATCGCTTGAACCTAGGAGGCGGAGGTTGCAGTGAGTGGAGATCACGCCATTGCACTCCAGCCTGGGTGACAGAGCAAGACTTTGTCTGTGAAATAAATAAATTTATTTATTTATTTGCGACACAGTAAGACTCTATCTCAAAAAAATTACATAATGCACATGATATAATATCATTAAGGCTGCTCTTATCATTGCAAAAGTGATCTCCACCGACACCCGCCCACCCCAGGTCTCCCCTCCTACCAGCAAAACCACATAGCACTTTCCACCTAAAACAAAGGCACTGATCACAGAAAGTGCTGGGATTACAGGTATGGGCCACTTCTTACTCCAAGGTCATCCCCAGGAACGATGAAGATTGTCTGGAGCACATGCAACCTATGCAAATGCTAGTTAACTTTTCAGGGATCCCATTTATGAACATAGGAATGAACTGGGTAAAACCATGCACTCCTCCACACCCTCTCACCCACTTCTTCAATGGCTCTTCCATTCTCCTGAGGTTTCTGATCTGTTGAGGGCTAGGAAACCATACTGCCACACTTTCTGAAAGTAGATAGGCAATTGGAATCAATAATCAAATCTAAGAAAGGCTCCCAGAACTTTGGCTAGCTACTCAGAGGCCCTTCTCTTCTTACCTTAGGAATTCAGAGTTCTGTTCCAGAGACTGAAGTTGCCAGAAAGGTGACCATGTTCCTATATGTCTTCTTAGGGAGCTGGATCTGTGACAAATTCAGACACTGAAGGGTGCATTTGGTCATTCAGGCAATTAAAACACCTGTAGCATCATTAAGTATTAGCTGTAAGGATAAATTTAGTCTGTGATAGTTTAATTGCTAAATGAAGGAGTCAAGCTGGACTGGCCTTAATTCCCCAGCCTGGTGCTACACTTAACTTTAATGTAGTTTGATGGACATGTGGAGTCATCATACAAATTGTGATGAACTTTGAAAGAAGATTCCTGAGCAAGTTACCTGTCTCCAGTGACTCATGCTGAGTTTCACTAGGACTCAAAGCGCAAGCTGCTAACTAGGTTTTGTATCTCTTTTCCAGGAGCAGGAGTTTCAATGTGAATGGACACAAAACTGGCTAAAATTTTTTGAAAAATATATCTGCAGACTGGCAGTTTCTTTCTTTCTGTTTTTGAGAGAGGGCCTCACTGTGGTCCTCCAGGCTAGGCTGGAGTGCAATAGCACAGTCATCACTCACCACAGTCTCAACTCCCTGAACTCAAATTATCCTCCCACCTTAGCCTCCCAGGTAGCTGGTACTACATGCTTATGGTACCACACCTGGCTGATTTTTTGTATTTTTTGGTATTTTTAGTAGAGATGGAGTTTTGCTATGTTGCCCAGGCTGATCTCGAACTCTTGGGCTCAAGTAATCATCCACCTTGGGCTTTGAAAGTGCTGGGATTAGAGGTATAGGTCACTGCACCCAGACATGGCAGGTATTTTCAAGCATTTTTTGAGAATGACATTAATTCTATGTTGGTTTTTTATTTTGAGATGAAGTCTCATTCTGTCGCCAAGGCTGGAGTACAGTGGCATGATCTTGGCTCACTGCAGCCTCTGCTTCACAGGTTCAGGCAATTCTCCTGCCTCAGCCTCCTGAGTAGCTGGGATTACAGGCATTTGCCACCATGCCCAGCTAATTTTTGTATTTTTAGTAAAGACGACGTTTCACCATGTTGGTCAGGCTGGTTTCAAACTCCTCACCTTGTGATCAACTTGCCTCAGCCTCCTAAAGTTCTGGGATTACAGGTGTGAGCCACCGCACCCGGCCTCTATGTTGTTTTTATTTATTTATTTTTGAGACAGAGTCTCGCACTGTCGCCTGGGTGGGAGTACAGTGGTGTTATCTTAGCTGACGGCCACCTCTGCCACCCGGATTCAAGCGATTCTCCTGCCTCACCTCTCAAGTAGCTGGGATTACAGGTGCACACCACCATGCCTGGCTAATTTTTTGTATTTTTAGTAGAGATGGGGGTTTCACTATTTTGGCCAGGCTGGTCTTGAACTACTGACCTCATGATCCGCCTGCCTCAGCCTCCCAAAGTGCTGGGATTACAGGCATGAGCCACCGTGCCTGGCTTTCTATGTTGTTTTTAAATCACAAAACGTCTGTAACAGCACTGAAGTAATTTCACGGTAAAAACTATTTACTTGTAAAACGAGTGCTTTCTTTTTCTTGAATCATAAAGTAATACATGTGTATTAAAGAAAAACTTGGAAACCCCAGAAATACAGAAGATTTTTTAAATCACCTGTAAGTCCACCACTCAGATAATTACTGTTAACATTTTTAGGTATATCCTTGCAAAACTGAATATTTAGTATTAAACACACACACACACACACACACACACAATCTCTGGTAAGAGCAACAGTGTGTTTGAGAACATGGGTAGAAGAAATATTGCTTTTCACTGTTGTTATTTGGTATTTTAAAAAATAATTGGGGTCAGGTGTGGTGGCTCACCCCTGTAATCCCAGCACTTTGGGAGGCTGAGGCAGGCAGATCACCTGAGGTTGGGAATTCAAGACCAGATTGACCAACATAGAGAAACCCTGTCTCTACTAAAAACACAAAATTAGCCAGGCATGGAGGCACATGCCTGTAATCCCAGATACTCAGGAGCCTGAGGCAGGAGAATCGCTTGAACCTGGGAGGTGGAGGTTGAGATCAGCCGAGATCACACCATTGCACTCCAGCCTGGGCAAAAAGAGCGAAACTTGGTCTCAATAATAATAATAATAATAATTGGTAACTCCCTTGTATGTGAGAACACAGGATTGAGAGGTCAAGCAGGGAAGCATGGACTTCATTCTTTTCTACCTTTTGAACTTTGTACTGTGTACATATGTTGCCTATTAACAAAATAATAAAAGAACATAAATTCATGTGGCCAAATATACTTTTTGCTTTTCTTTGTTTTCTCTGGTTTGTAACGATCAGCTTGTGTTGGGAATCACTGATGCAAAAGTCAACCCACCTCTCCGGCTACCACAGGCATCTTTTGGAGTCAACTGGCTGGAGTTTATTCTTGCTAATAACTTTGACTATATTCACCCACAAGTATTTACTAACATAGCCCCTGTGTGGGCTCAGTACTGAAGCAGTGAATTATTTCACTAGTCTAAGCAAAAATGAAGTCAAATACAGGCTAAAACATGGTCAGGCTGGTCTTGAACTACTGACCTCATGATCCGCCTGCCTCAGCCTCTATGGTCATAGATCCAAAATCATACATATTCATTCTCTCACTCTGAACTCGGAAGTCCCAGTTCTTCCCTCTAACCGCAGGGCATCACTGACGATACAGGAGTCTGAGTGGAGCTCTGCACTTGTTCAAACTCATGGGAAAACAATGCCATCAGCATGAATCCATAGGAACGGTGCTCTTGGCCAGCAGACTGTTATTTCTGGGGACAGCACGCACATTCCATTCTGAGGCCGAGAATGGACACTGTTAGTGTCAGACTTAGCAGTACAGCAATGCTTTCCAAACTTTTTTACTAGGAAATAACTTTAGCATGTGTAAGCATGTATGTATATATGTATATGTGTGTGTATATATATTTATATCTCCTGTTTATATTTTACGAGTTTGATTTTACAAACTTCCAGATGTTCCACCGGAGTTTTCTCTTTTTAAATTTTACTTTATTACTGTGTTTTACTGCTGTTTCCCTAACCCTATAAACAGAAATTTCCTAAGCTTCTGCCACTCCCCGTTTTCCTGCTCTCACGGCTCTGAGAATTTGAGCTAAGAAACAACCTTAAGTACTGGGCAAGGATCATGGAACTACCATTCAGAACTCAGGGATTCAGATCATGACTGGCTGTGTGATTCTGAGATGCTATGCTCTCCTTAAAACCTAAGTTCTTCCATCTGTAAAATGAGATGAAAAATCTCTAATTCCCTGAGAGTGAGGGAAAAAGAATAGTTAATAATTTATCACATAGTGTTAGCTCTTTGGGATAAAAGTTTCAAATGAAATACAAGGATTTAAATCCAAAGGTATGATACTGATGTTTCAAATTTAGCATTGTCAGCACTTACCATGTTCCCTAAAAGCATGAATTCCAAATGCCATGGTATGAGACAGTTATCTGTCATCATCACCTTTCCCATTTTATAGAAACACGGAGAAGTCACTGGTCCCTGGCTATTCAGCTAATTAGTGACAGTCAGGAGTCAGAACTAGGTAGTTGGGAGCCAGAGTCTAGTTACTAGGCAGCCAGTAACTATGAAATCACAGCCAGTTCACTTCCACCTGTGTTCCTCTCTTGCTCAAAAGCCTTCAGTGTTTCTTGAAGCCTAAAGTAATAAGTGCAGACTCCCTAGCTTAGCAATAAAGACCCTCCAGCTACCTTTCTTTCCTGTTTTGTTCTCTATGAAAATCCTTCCTATGTCCTCCTGTGCTCAGCTGAACTGTACCAGCCACGCTTCCCTGAATAGATCCTATGTGCTCCTGCTCTGTGCTTTGCCTCTGATCCTCTCTTTTTCTGGAATCCACCTAATCTCACCCCTTCCTCATCTTTCTACATTTTACGTTTACCTTTCTTTCATTCTTTCAAGGTCTTTGCAAGGGGCCATCTGCTTCATGCATTTTCCCCTGCCCCTCTCAACCACAGCTGGTTGATAATCTCCCCAGGGAATTTCATCTCTGCTCTCCTCTGCATGTATCAGTTTCTGGCTTTTGTGGTAGTTGTTTCTGTACACACTATAGTCCCTCCTTAGTAAGGGATGAGCTCAAAGGCTGCAATATGATTTCCTTTCTTATGGAAATTTAAAATTTTATTAAAAATTTAAATCATTCCTGTTTTTTGTTTTTTTTTTTTGAGACGTAGTTTCCCTCTTGTTGCCCAGGCTGGAGTGCAGTGGCACAATCTTGGCTCACTGCAACCTCCCCCTCCTGGGTTCAAGGGATTCTCCTTCCTCGGCCTCCTCTACTTTTTTCACATAAAATGCACAGTAGCTAGGATTATAGGCATGCACAACCACATCTGGCTAATTTTGTATTTTCAGTAGAGAAGGGGTTTCTCTATGTTGGTCAGGCTGATCTTGAACTCCCAACCTCAGGTGATCCTCCCACCTTGGCCTCCCAAAGTGCTGGGATTACAGCTATGAGCCACCATGCCCGGCCTCCTGTTCTTTTTTATTTTATTTTATTTTTAAAATAACCAAATGCATGCATGCTTGATGCAAAATAAAAAATAAAAAAATAAAAAAAAGGAATGTCATGGAATACATCTCTTTGAAAGTGAAATCCACCATTATCACCCCTCTTCCCCTGCTCTAAGAGAACTGCGGTTAACAGTTTGGAATGTATTCTTATAGACTTTTTCATATAAAAATTATTTACAGAAATGGAATTATATAATATGTAAAGCTCTGTGCTTTTTTCACTTAAAATGTATAGTATTTTTCACATAGATATCTACCTCATCTTCATTCTTTTCTTTTTTTTTTTTGAGACAGCATCTGGTTCTGTCACCCAGGCTGGAGTGTAGTGGTGGGATCATAGTTCACTGCAACCTTGAACTCCTAGGCTCAAGCAATCCTCTTGTCTCAGCTGAGTTGTAGCTGGAACTGCAGGTGTGCACCACCATCCCCAGCTAATTTTTAAAAATTGTCTGTAGAGATGGGCCTCGCCATGTTGTCCATGTTAGTCGGAACTCTTGGGCTCAAGGGATCCTCCTGCTTTGTCCGTTCGAACTGTTAGGATTATAGGCATGAACCACACCACCAGCCTTCATTCTTTTCTAACTGCCGCATAGCATAAGATTGTAGTGATGCACCTGTTCAATCCCTTCTTGATGCACATGAAAGTGATTTCCAGTTTTTACCATTAGACCAATGCTGCAGTGAACATAAATAAGTGCACATATTGCTATCTATATATCCATATAACTTTCTTTGGATATGCAATTGCTAGGTGAAATGGAATGAAGATTCTAAATGATGATAAACGTAGGAAGTGTCAGGGATGTTGTATCCTTCACCAAGCTTAACATTGTATCTACCAGTGGAGCTTGGTAAGTAAAAGACCAGGCTCTGGTCTCTGGCTGTCCAGGTTTGTATCCAGGCTTCATCTCTATACCTTAGCCATCTCATCACCATAAAATAATAGCAGGGTCATTGTCATTATAAAGCTTAAATGAGATAATACGGGTAACACAATGAGCATTTAGTAAGTACCTGGAAAATAAGTAAATGCAAGACATACAAGAGGAAAAATGGTAATGGGTTCAGACAATTGTTGAATGAATTGGACTGAATAGCACAATGGCATTTTGAGTAATCGTTCTAGAAATGGATGTTACAGAACTATTCATACTTTGCTATCAAAACCCATAGCAACTATTTATAAAATGACTGGCTAACATTAGAGGTGCAGTGTGTAGCCCTGGAGCAATTCATCTCTGTGCAACATGAACTGGCCCAAACCAGAATCAAACCAATGACCTTGGCTTTTTTGGCCCCACACTTTCCCTAATAGAACTAACTGGCCCCAGCTGCAGCCTTATGTAATGGGTATCTGTGAGGACAGAGAACAATAGCTCCCGGCAGGGTACAGTTGCTCACCACTGGAGGTTGTTAGGTCATCTAGCTAACCAGCCATTAACACTGAAAATGAATAGAAAGTACACGAAGAAATGCTTGGAGTAGTGCATAAGGCTTTCTGTTTAGATTCTTAGGTTCTAGGCCAGAAGTTCTCATTTTGGTGGCAAGGTTTCTATACCAATACCAAGGTAGCCAACCCTGGGTTCTAGAACCAACTCTGCCACTATTACAGCTTTAAAACCTTGAGCAAATTGTTGGACTTTATCTTGGGACAGCAAGGAGACTGAAGTAGTTGATGCGAAAGGTACTTTTTTGACATTTCTTTCCCCACAGGTAGATATTCTCAGACATTAGGGCTGTTTATTGCGCTGAACAAAAAGTATAAAATCAGGCAATAGCAATACTGTATTTTCAAAATGTGTCAATAAAGTGATGGCAAAAAGGAAACATGAGAAGCTAGACACAGCTGGACACAGTGGCTCACGCCTGTAATCCCAGCACTTCAGGAGGCCAACGTGGGCAGATCTCTTGAGGTCAGGAGTTCCAGAGAAGCCTGGCCAATGTGGTGAAACTCCAGTCTCTATTAAAAATACAAAAATTAGCTGGGCGTGGTGGTGCAGGCTTGCAGTCCCAGCTACTTGGGAGGCTGAGACAGGAGAATCACTTAAACCTGGGAGGCAGAGGTTGTAGGGAGCTGAGATCACACCACTGCACTCCAGTCTGGGCAACAAAGCGAGACACTGTCTCAAAAAAAAAAAAAAAAAAAAGAAGCTAGACACAAAAGGCCACATATGTTATGATTCGACTCATATGACTTATATGAAATATCAAAATAGGCAGATCTGTAGACCGGATGGAAAGCAAGTTAGTGGCGACTAGGGGCTGGGAGAAAAGATGATTGGGAGGTGACTGCTTAATAGGTAGGTGTTACCTTTAGAAGCGACGAAAATCGGTTGGAACTAGACAGTGGTGAGAGCTGTACAACATAGTGAATGTACCGAAAGCCACTACATAAACACTTTAAAATTGCGAAATTTATGTCATGTGTATTTTATTACAATAAAAAGTGTCCCCCAAAGAGAGGGGGATGACAAAAGATAGCAGGGTGCAGACTCACTTGACACCTGCTTCAAGGTAACATTAGAGGAGGGGTTGGGGTGTGGGTCCTCTGAGGAAGCCCTGGGAGATCCAGGGATGAAAGAGTAGACATTAGTGCAGGATTTGTCATCTAACTGGGGCCAGGTTCTGGCCAGAGGCACATGTAGCAGTCAGTGGGGTTCCAATGGAGAATGAGCATCACCCCAAGTACACTGACGATGACCCTCCCTCAGCTCAACATGTTCTTGGCCTCCTCTCACTGTGGTCAAACCCTACCCATCTCAGTTCTATTTCAAAGCCCACTCTCTTCTTGAGCTCCCCCCACCGTACCCCACACAGAGACACACTTCCTTCTTCTTTTTTTTTTTTCTTGAGACAGGTTCTCACTCTGTCACTCAAACTGGAGTGCAGTGGCATGATCATGGCTTGAATTACTGGGCTCAAGTGATCCTTTCACCTCAACCTCTCGAGTAGGTGAGACCACAGGTGCATGCCTGGATGATTGAATTGCTTTTAAATTTTTTGTAGATATGAAGTTTCCCTAGCTTCCCAGGCTGGTCTCGAACTCCTGGGCTCAAGGGATTCTCCTGCCTCAATCCCCCAAAGTGCTGAGATTACAGGCATGAGCCGCTGCCCCTGACTACATCTTGTCTTTCTAAAAGCTGACAGTACTTACTCTCTGTGCCATTCCCAGGTCATAAGGCTGCTGCAGCCTTCTAGAGACACTTGTATTCTCTTGCCACCCAAGGCCTTCTGCTTCTCTTTGCCTCCCAGCATCCAATACAGTAGTGCTTAGGAAATATTTGTGGCTCTGTGATGGAGTGGCTCAGGCAGCCCCATGGGGAGTAGAGTTTTGAGTTTAATATGAACCATACCATGAAATCTGAGAAATCTACCTCATTGCTCATACTGGAAACCCTCTGTTCCACTCAGATTTGCTTGGAGCTGGATGAAACTGTGTTGCTTTTCACACTGAAAATGATCATCTAATTTTTAAATTAAAAAAAGTTTACATAGCACCTACTTCATGTTGGACAGGAATCTCAACACTTCACAAATGTTAACTCACTGACCCTTCCTAACAAACAGACATTGAGAAGTTAAATAACTTGCCCAGAGGTCAAAGCCAATACGTGGTAGAGCTGGGCTTCAAATCCAGGTTCCTGGCTTCCAGAGATGCTCTTCAGTTTGTTCTGGTGCCTGAAACGTACAGATGAGGGCCAAAACCCTCCACACACAGGGGAAAGAAAAAAAAAAAAGACAACATTGATGTATTTATTTCAAGGGATTTTTTTTTTCTTGCTTCCCCCCTTTCTTCCTCATTCAAAGCAAAATGCTCTAAAGCAGTCTTTTTTTTTTTTTTTTTTCCCCACACCTAGAGGAGACAAGCGCGGCTCATTTTTTTGCTTTGGCAATCAAAATAGAAGAGAAAACTTGTGTGGTTTCATCACTGGTGCTTTCGAGATGTGAGGGGCGGGCTGTCCTTCTCCCTCTGGCTCATTGACCCTAGACCCCTCCCCAGGAGTTGTGGCCTCGGGTCCTGGAGACTTAAGGGGGCCGCCTTTCCACTATGACTCCGGGAACGTGCCCCAGCCTCTCCCGCCTTCCTGCAAATCCAGTCCTTGTCCTGAAGAACCTCGGCGTCTTCTTACGCCCGCCTCTCTCAAAGTTTCTTAGGCTTTACACCTGATTAATAACGTTTGCATCAGGATGGCCAGACCCCGGCGCAACGCCCTGCAGGCCCGCGCTAATCCATTACATTGTCATGTTTCGGATGTTGTCCTCCTGACTTGATGCATATTCAAATGTCTCTCTCCCCACGTGGGAGGCCGGAGTCAGAACCTGACAGACCTGCCGTTTACTAACTGGGGACCCAGAGCAAATTACTTCACGCACCTGAGTCTCGGTTTCCTCACCGTGAACGGGATTGGTACCTATAGGTTGCGGCGTGGATCGAATGAGATAGCGCAGGGGCGGCATCGGCGCACAGCAGCTCTTAGCTCCTCTTAGCGACGTCTACGTAACACATGCTTGTCTGTTTCCCATTTTCCCCAGAGCACCCTCAAGCTCTCGCGCCACACCGAAAAAGTCCCAGCGGTCGCGCTGTAGGTACCTGTGGGCCCAGCTACTGTGGAGGCTGGAACAGGAGGATCGCTGGAGCCCAGGAGGTGGAGGCTACAGTGATTGTGCCGCAGTCCAGCCCAGGCGACAGAGCCAGAGCCTGTCTTAATTAAAAAATAATAATAAGAAGAAAGAAATTAAAGTTCCTATAACCCTGGTTAGAGTGTTCCGGGCCACTGTCTCTCAGGGCACATTTAGGACAACCTGAAGTAGCCACTCTTCTTGGGACCCTAACCCTAACCCTAACCCTAACCCTAACCCTAACCCTAACCCTAACTCCTCGGCCCCCAAAGGCTCTTAGCTCAGGATCTGAAGGAGGCCGGGCTGAGGCCGCTGGGTGGGGCTCTGGGAGGAGGAAATGGGGTTCCCGAGGGAGCCCGCGCTCCAGCTCGCCTCCTTCTGCGAGGACGCCCCCCTGCCCGGACACCTGCTGCCCGAACGAGCGTCGGGGCCCGGCCTCCCAGCGGGGCAGTCTCTGGGCGCCCGTCCCACTTGCGCGGCGTGGACCCCGGGCTGCCTCCGGCGCAGCCTCTGGGAGCCCCGCCCCGCCTCCCCGGCGCGGCCCCGGCGCCCAGCCGCGCCCCCTCCCAGCCCGCGGCGCCCCGGCACCCCTCTCCCTCCCAGGCAGGCTCCGCAGAGCATTGTACTCACATCCGGGGCTGGGTTTTGCTTTAATGCGAAACGTAATTAACCCGGAAAAAAGAGCAGAGGGACTGGAGCGAAGGAGGGGGTGCAGGGGGAGACAAGAGCTAGGGGAGCCAGAGGCGCGGAGAGTTTGGCAGCGAGACCCAGAAATCCACTGAGCGCGGCGGACCCGGCGGACCCGGCGGACCCGGCGGCCGGAGGGGCGACCCCACCCGATGTAACGCGCTTCGCCTGAGCCCCGGCCCCCGCACGGCGGGGTAAGTTGGGCGCTCTCGCGGGCCCAGGAGTGGAGCGGAGCAGAGGGGCGCGGGGCCGGCAGGGCTGGGGGTGCAGGGGGCGCTCCGGCGGGGCCAGGCGGCCTAGGGGCGCTGGGGGCGCGCGCGCGCAAGGCTGCGTACGCCGGTCCTGGTGGCTGACAGGCGAGGGGAGGTGGCCGCAGACCCAGGAGGCCTCCTCCAGCCCTCTGGGAAAGCCCCGAGGGCAGCCCATCCTCCAAGTGCCCCCGGTGGCCAAGGTCGCCGCCGCCAGGGGTCGGGCTGCGGGGGTGGGGCCGCGGGGAGGGTGGGGGCGGGAGTTCTGCTGAGCTGCATTTTCTCACGTTTGCAGCGGCGAAACTTCTCTGCGGGTTCTGGAGCTAGGGCACCGGCCCCGCAACGACTGCCCGGGCTGCGGGAGGGGAGGAGAGCAGAGAACGTCCCCAGGCAAGTCCCTCGGGTGCGGATGGGGCCGTGGAGACTCCTCTTTCTCTTCCCCCACTACCTTTTGACTTGACAGGCTTAAAAGGCTCCCCTAGGGACACCCGTCCTTTCCTCTGGGTGCAGCCTGGCCTTTGGGCTTCTGGAACTCCAGGAAATTGGAGAGAACTGCCCTAAAATGCAGGTTCGGTGCCAGGTTGGGCGAGCCCTCGAGGGGAGCTGTCGTTCTTTCTCTCATCAACTTCTTCCTCACCTTACACGCTTCCCTTTTCTGCTCCATTCCTAAAGACGATTTCACCAAAATTTTTTTTAAAAAAAGAAAGAAAAAAGAAGCGTGGTGGTGGTGCGGGGGGAGCCAGGACGTTTTCAAAGGAAAAGGGTCTCCGTACGTCCAGAGAGGGGAGCGGGGCCAGCGGAGGCCGCAGCACCCTCACATCTTCTCCCGGGGCCAGCCCTGCCCCCAGGCCCTCGCCTTAAGGTTTGGCTTCCTTCCTTCTTGGTGAACACAGGTTCAGGATGTATCTTCCCCTTCTCATTCCTTCTTCCTGCCCGCCCTCTTTCTTTCTTTAGGGTTCCAAGTGGGGTTTTCAGAGGACAGTAAACGGCAGAGAGGAGGGAGGGGAGAGCACCCTATCAGGAAGCCAGCTGTGTGGCTCTGGGGGCTCTGAAGGCTGAGCTGTAGGTGCAGTTGGGGCTGAAGTCCTCAGATTGTACAAATGGTGTTCTTAATGTATCGGACCAAGTCCCTTTTTCCCTTTTGGTGTGGAAGATTTCCAAACCGTAAAGCAAAAGATCTTGAAAGAATGGAAGTTTTTGTTTTCTATATCGGTTGCATTCAGTTGACATGTATTATACATGCAAGGCAGTGATGAACAAAACACATCTCCTGCCTTATTTACTTATCTTTTATTTTTCCTTTACCTCTGGAGGGCTGGAACTTATCTTCTGGGACCTTCCGGGACTTGTAAGCATACTTGTTTTGAGAAGCCAGAGTAAGCTTTTAGAAAGCATCATCATCATCCCAGATGTTAGCCTTCTTCACTATGTGCCACTTGAAGGCAGGTGACTTTTGCACTATCAGAGGTCTAGCTTGTAGTCTGGATTATGGCCAGCCCAACATATGACATGTACCAGGTGCTAAGTAAATGTTTGTTGCATTAGTGAATGAATGCAAACACATGCATTGTCTGCACTTCTCCAAATGGCAGAGAAAAGAGCAGTGCGTTTGATCCTGAAACCTGTAGCAATTTGGATCACCAAGCTGGTACATGGGAGTTATTAGTCCGGATGTTGCCTTTACACCTAAATATCCTTTGGCCCTGTTTGTACATTACAGCACACTTTCTGCAAATTGACTGTAGCAATCCTAGTGGAGTTTTAGCTGGCTGGTAATGGGAGCCTTGCTCATTTCACAGATGGGTAATTACCTTGGTGTTGGTTGGGAAACCGCCTGCCCTTTGGTGAAGAGTTTTTGCATACCTTTCTTTTTCCTTGTTATTGGTGCTTTCTTCTCTCTTCTGTGTAACGAAGTAGGGCCTGCAGATGCCATCATGTCATGATAGTGAGCTGAACCATATTCAGCTCGGTATTTTAGAATGGTTAAAATAAATCTTGAAGACCTGCAGGTTTTGTTTCTGCAGAAGTGGGAAGGGGAAGGCTGATGAACCCTCTCAGCTGAGCTCCAGAGCAGCCCTCCCACTACCTTGCCAAGTGTTTGCTGAAGTGCTGGGATACTAGGAAGACCCAAGCAGCAGGAAGTGTGTGCATCCACCGGCACTGGTCTCCTTCATGGGACAGATGGACAGGTGGGTGGTGCCCCTGCTGAAAGGCTGGATGACTCAGATGAGAGCTCGCTGCAGACCACAGTGCATCAGAGTCTCTCTTCTGATTCACGGAAACTGCTGTGGCTTGACTTATTCTGGCTGTGATAGACCTAGGGCTTGGAAAAGAGGATCTGGGTGCTGGGATGTTGGGTTGCTCTGCCCCCTCCCTCTCTTTCCACCACGAACAGTTTGGGTTGCCTTCCTTTCCATTTTCCATCTGTCTTAGTGAGCTGGATGGGACTCCAGCAATCTAATCTGGTAGGCTTTGGAAAGGAAGGAAGCAGAGCAAATATTATAGTGTGACAGCCTATGGGAAGAGAAAAATCCTGGCCCTGCCTGATATAAGCCCGTTGTTCAGATGGGGAATTGGGCAGGCGGGGGGAGATAGGGCAGCCGGGAGGTGGGAGGGATGCGGTCTCATCCTGTCGGTGGAGGAGGCCAGGGGTTGGTGCAGTGAGACTCTACTGTTCCTTCTGAAAGCCCCTTTCCTGCCCTGACTCCAGTTGATTGAAGTGATTTGTTCAGCATTAAAGCCTTCTCATTGCGGAGGTCCCAGCCCTGCTGGGGCAGGGGCCTCTGATACTGCCCAATGTGGGCAAAAGTCTTGGGGGGCTTTGGCCCTGTGGTGTGCCTTTTGCCCATAGTGCCTGGTCAGCTCAGATGCAGAGGATGGGAAGCTGGGTCCTCTTGTCCTTATACTCTTGAGAAGCACTGCAGTTAAAGTGCGAGGTTGGGCCTTAAATTCGGCTGGGCCCTTGCGAAACAGCCCTCTGATGGTGTGATTGCCTGTGGCTGGATCAAGAGGCAGCTCTAGGGCCCTTTCCTTGGAAACCGATGAGTATGTCTAGGTTTCTGTTAACTCTCAAGGTAGCCTGGCCAAGGAGCCAGCGGATTGCCCGGACTTTTTGTTTTAAACCCGCTGGATAATTTTTTTTTAGACGGAGTTTCACTCTTGATGCCCATACTGGAGTGCAATGGTGTGCTCTCAGCTCACCGTAATCTACACCTCCTGGGTTCAAGTGATTCTCCTGCCTCAGCCTTCTGAGCAGCTGGGATTACAGGCATGCACCACCACTCCTGGCTAATTTTGTATTTTTAGTAGAGACGGGTTTTCTCCGTGTTGGTTAGGCTGGTCTTGAACTCCCAATCTCAGTTGATCAACTCACCTTGGCCTCCCAAAGTGCTGGGGTTATAGGCATGAGCCACTGCGCCCAGCCGAGAATTTTTAGAGATGTAAAATGCGGTGGTTCTTGGAGTAGAGGGAAGAGTGAGGGGAACTGATGCCTTTCCCTGTGAGAGGGATGTCAGAGTCGCAGCTTTTTCATTGCCATTTGCTCACTGGCGTTGGAGGGGTGGAGGTGCCTGTGCAGCAGCTGCCTGCCCTAGGTTAAGCAGCTTTGCAGTGGTAATGATGACCATGTGCTCCTTGTTAGGCACCCACACATGAAGTTTAACAACAACAATATTTACCCAATGTCTGCTGTCCAGGGCTTTTCACACGCTGTTTCATTTAATCCTCACAGCAGCCTTTGAAGTAGGTAAAGCAGTTATCTCCATTTTGCAAATGAGGAAATAGACCCTGAAGAGTTAAGCAGCTTGTCTGGGTTTGCATCCAGGTTTGTCTGGCTTGAGACTCATAATCTTTCCCTTCACTCCACTGCACAGATGGGATGGGTAACTGAAATCAACACACCCTTTTGAATGGTCATCTTCTTGCAAAAGATCCCTCAAAAATACTCATATTGGGCTGGGGGTGGTGGCTCACGCCTGTAATCCCAGCACTTTGGGACACTGAGGTGGGTGGGTCACTTGAGGTCAGGAGTTACAGACCAGTCTGGCCAACATGGTGAAACCCCATCTCTACTAAAAAAAATAGCTGGGTGTGGTAGTGCTTGAAGCTACTAGGGAAGCTGAGGCAGAAGAATTGCTTGAACCCAGGAGGCGGAGGTTGCAGTGAGCCTAGATCATGCCACTGCACTCCAGCCTGGGTGACAGAGCCAGACTCCATTACACACACACACACACACACACACACACACTCACTCATATTGGCTGGATGCGGTGGCTCATCCCTGTAATCCCAGGCTTTGGGAGGCTGAGGTGGGAGGTTCACTTGAGGTTAAGAGTTTAAGACCAGCTTGGGGAATCTAGTGAGGGCCCCATCTCTACAAAAAAAAAAAAAAGTGAAAAATTAGCTAGTTGTAGTAGTGTGTGCCTGTAGTCTCAGCTACTCAGGAGGATTTTTTGAACTCAGGAGTTTGAGGTTATAGTGAGCTATGATCGCACCACTGCACTCCAGCCTGAGCACCAGAGCAAGACCCTGTCTCTAAAAAAAATTTTTTTTAATACTCAATACTAGTTATTGTCACCTGCACATCGTCCTTACCACTCCTCCTTCCCTAAATCAGAAGCACTTGTCTTTAGAGGGACACAGCTAGGCCATTTACCCTTCCCCCTCACCACTCCCCTACCCTAACCCTGACACTTTGCAAAAGGCCAGTAGGTCAGGGAAATGATGTTTTCTTTTCATTCTCTTGCTGCCCATGTATTAGTACCCTCTGGTTGATATGGTCCATTATAAAATGAAGGTTAGAGTTTCAGGACTCACAGCTGTTGTTAGGGAGCCCTACAGTGAAACTGAATTTATTGTGGGGGAACTTTCACAATTCCGAAAGTTGGAGATCTCAGCTTTTACAGGCTGTGCAGCCAGTGTGGCTGCGTGCCTGCACCCGTGCCCTTTCTGGTGATGGTCTGACGAGCCTTCAGCCCGGGGCAGGCTTTTGTTTCCCGCAGGCTCCAACAACCACATTTTCTTTGAACATAGATGAGGCTGCTGTGAAGAGAGGTCATGAGTGCCTGAAATATTTTGTTGTTTTTGGCATCATTATTGCAGTGGTATCAATTTCCAGTTACTCCTGCCTTTCACCCCCGCCCCATATTTTTAAAAAAATTCCTTCTTGAGTATCTCTTGCCCTCGACTCCAAGTTCTAGGGTCCAGTGGGGATTGGGCTATCTCAGTGTCAAGCCAGCACCCTGTCTGAACCGCCCTCATTCCTGTACATGTTTGCATTCCTCACCCTGCACTTCCTCTGGGAACTTGTGCTCAGTACATTCCCTTCTCTCGCTCTTTATTCTCCCGCCTTAGACTATTTGGAATCTGCTATCATGACAGTTTCAAAATGTGGCCATATTAGAGCAGTAGGAAGTAGAGGCTTCCACACTTCCTAAGTTATAATCTTTGACCCATTCTCAGGGGTGTATTCTCAAATAGTCATGCTTGCATTTTGCTGTTGTTTTTACTGGGCTTGTACCCTGTGAAGACTCTGTATTCTGCAAATCTAAACACATGTGAGCTCCGTTGATGTAGTCCGTATCTATTCTGGCAAATAGGTGAGTGACTGCTTCATATCTCTACACCTCAGTTCCTGTCTGCTGTATTTCATAGAGTCCTATCTGGGATCTCTGATGTTATTTCCTGAAAAACTTTCTCCTGTTTCCCAGTTTAGCTATTTCTGCTTGGCAGGACCTCTCGCTCACTACTGACACTGCTGCCCCCAGCTTCTGCCCTGGGAGGAGTAAGGGGACCGAAGATGTATGTACCACACGCCCCACTCCTTGTCAAAAAGCACCTTTTGAATATTTTCTGGAGCAAAAT